AAAAAAAAAAAAAAAAAACAGTGAGACCCTGTCACACACAAAAAAGTTAGATTAGAATCGGAAAATCTGGAATAGCAAATGAGAAAAATGATAAAAGGAAACAGGCTAAATAGAATTTATATTTTTTATTTTTTTTGAGATGGAGTTTTGCTTTTGTTGCCCAGGGTGGAGTGCAATGGCACAATCTCACTGCAACATCCACCTCCCAGGCTCAAGCAACTCTCCTGCCTCACCCTCCCGAGTAGTTGGGATTACAGGCGCTCACCACCATGCCTGGCTAATTTTTTGTATTTTTAGTAGAGACGGGGTTTCACCATGTTGGCCAGGATGGTCTTGAACTCCTGACCTCAGGTGATCCACCTGCCTTGGTCTCCCAAAGTGCCGGGATTACAGGTGTGCACCACCGTGCCCACCTGGCTAAATAGAATTTAAAATAAAGATGAAGAGAACTTCACAATGAGAATCCAGTATAGAAAAACAAACACAGGAAAACTTCAAATCCATAGCAGTGGGGAAAGGGGAAATTTGCCATGTTGAGAATCCATTTGCTCGTTTTCAGTGATCATTTATTTTCTTCTTAAAGCTGTAAATTTTATTTGCGATCATCCGGACATTAAAGCAATCAGCTTTGTGGGATCCAACCAGGCAGGAGAGTATATCTTCGAGAGAGGATCAAGACATGGCAAGAGGGTTCAAGCCAATATGGTGACTTCTTATTCCTTTTTTTCTCCAATATTTGTTCTATATATTAAAATTACCTAAGAATAGACCTTAAGCAGAGCAGCCACTCATCCCACTTCAGTGTCAGTGTTTCTTAATTACCATGTCATCCTGAATGTTTTCTCCTTAATAATGGACTTTTTGAGGAGTTTCATTCTAAGTCATGTTAATCACATTTTTTTTTTTTTAAATAGAGACAGGGTTTCACCATGTTGGCCGGGCTGGTCTCGAACTCCTGACCTCAGGTGATCGGCCTGCCTCGGCCTCCCAAAGTGCTGGGATTACAGGCGTGAGCCACCACGCCCGGCAATCACCTTATTTTATTTTATTTTTTGAGACAGAGTCTCACTCTGTCACCCAGGCTAGAGTGCAGTGGTGTGCTCTCAGCTCACTGCAACCTCCTCCTCCCGGGTTCAAACAATTCTCATACCTTAGCCTCCCAAGTAGCTGCGATTACAGGTGCCTACCACAACACCAGGCTAAGTTTTGTATTTTTAGTGGAGACAGGGTTTTACCACGTTGGCCAAGCTGGTCTCGAACTCCTACCTCAGGTGATCTGCCTGCCTCTGCCTCCCGAAGTGCTGGGATTACAGGTGTGAGCCAGTGTGTCTGCCCTGTTTCTTGAAATTCTGTATTGAGGTCTACCTTCCGTTTTGCTTTTCAGCTGGTTACGGGCATTATTACTATAATTTTTTTTTTTTTTTTTTTT